TTTAGATAAAGGTATTCTACTCATTTTTTATGCTACCTAACCCCCATCCCATCTGTGGATGCTGCATGCAATTTAACAAGATAAAAACGTTTTCTGCAGATACTAAATTTTAAAGAACAGGGTTTTTTCCCCCTCTTAATTTGGCATTCAACTATCCATCAGGGTAAGCAACAAGTGACTTGGCAGATAATTCAGGACATATGGCTTTGAAGAACTGGTAATTTAAAAGTACTTGGACAAGTCTCCTCAACTCATTCACCTTAATTTGTGTTATTCTCTTTTACATGTGCTCTAGCAGCTGGTACAGCTAAAAAAAAAGTGTAGAAAATATAATCCAAGTGACAAAATAACCTTTTCCTGAGTTGCATTAATGTATAAACCTCACTCATAAACTGAGTAACAGAAGGAGTCAAATACAGTTCAAAGCTGTTAAACATACATGCCTCATCTCTAGTCACCAGGTGGCACCAGATGTATCCGTATTTTGATAATCAGCTTAAAACCACTGTAACCCATGTGGCCTTTGAAATGCAAAACACATTACATATGTGTATTAGGTAGAGCCCAATAGCTGAGTGGTCACTAGACTAGAGAGTTTAGATATAACATTAACAAGATCTCACTGTTGTTTTTTGGGGTTTTTTTTGAGGAGGAAGTATTAAAGAGTAAGATTCAGTGGCATCTCCTAATTTTGAAGATACTGGTTGGAAAAGTTTTCCAAAAATGAAAAAAAGAATTATTATTTTAACTAAATGCGTTGATTCTTGGTCAGAATTAGCATCTTTTTACATTTTTCCCCTTTTCTTTTTAAACATTTAAATGTTTAACGAATTAAATTTTGGAGAAAAATCAGTCCTTTCAAAAGACACATTTCAGCTGTCCTGAAGAATTGTAGCTTTCTGTTGATACAAAAGGACTTTTTTTCTGTCTTTCTGACATTGTCAATGAGCTCTTGAATTATGTAGGAAATCCTATGCTTAAAAATTCTTTTGTTTTACAAATATAATCACTTTATTGTATGATGGTGAAGCTGAAATTAGCTATGCATCATACATAGTATATTATCTCGTGAATATAAAAAAATAGTGAGAGCTAAATCATTTACTTGTAAATCATGAGTCATATCAGGGTTTTTTTCTGCATTTCAATGCTCATAACTTTCCTCGCTAATGAAACAGTTGGGAATCTAAACTGTTTTTTTGAGCTTGGCAGTATTTAGTACATGTATTTTCCTTTTTACTTATTATCTGTCTCCTCTGTGAGTAACTTTTCATTGAGACAAAAAAAAAAAAAAAAGAACAGCAAAAGGGTAAAATCTTGACCTCACTGAATCAATGGCAAAACTCCCAGTAACTTCAAGGAACCAGGATTTTACCACACATGACAAGCTTTACACAAAGAAGGAACACCAAACAGCCAAAGATATCATGTAATTAAAAGCACCAAGTCTGACAATGAATCATCACCTAAACAATATGGCAAATGTTTACAAATAAAAAACTAACCAAAAGAGTCAAGCTATAGTTTGAAATGAAGTTTCAAAAGGAACTTGATTTTCCTGGGAAACATCATATCTTTCTGTCTAAACACTGAAAATGTAAATTTTAATATATAATTCTAAGCATCCAGATTTCATATCTTTAGCCTATTGTAATGATTTTTTCATCTGGCAGGTCCTTTTGATTATATTAAATATTCACAGTTGTATCTGCTTTATTGCAGCAAAATGCCTACCACAAAAATGTAATCCACATTTACAGTCTCTTCAGCATGACCTGTTCCTAAAAATGAACCAGCGTGACTATCTACATATATGACACCTATAGAGGTTTAATGGTTGTTGGGGTTCCCAGTGCAAACAATGACATGCACGTGTAAATAATGTATTTGTTTAAAGGCTGTCTTTTGCAAGCACTGGCTTGCAAGCAATATTTGCATTTGCAATGGTCAAGCCTATCCTTGTACAGAGACAAAAGGAGATGTCTTTGTTTCAAATGATTCATGATTATTCTTCATGCTTTACAGTAATGGGAAGACCCTCAGCAAGTGCTGCTGGGAAAAGAGAATATAACTTAGCTTTTGTAAAACACTTTGCACATTAAATTTGAGAAACATGTTAACACTGTTTTCCCACAGGAAAACCAAGGAAGAAAAGGAGAAGCAGTACGCTTCCTACCAGCCAGCAGTGGAGTCTGGCACTGAAACAACATGCTTCAGCTCCAGCCCAGAGAGTCTGGAGTAACCTCTAGTCTGGAGTAAAGCAGTTTGTGGCTAATTTAACACTGTAGTGTGCACTCAGAAAGCCTATCTCTTGTCTACTATAGCATGAAGCTCACCTAAACGAAGTTTTATTTGTATTCAAGCATGTCCATTACAGTAGCTGTGGCACATCCCAAAAAGTAGTCTTGAAAGTCTAATGAACAGCCTGAAATTGAGGTACATAGTGTAAGGTAAATTTGTAGACTCTCTCCCTAGCTAGTCCAAAAAGTGGTTTATGCTGTCTTAAGACAAGTGACTGAGAAACACAGCCATGTGCTGCTCTCCAGGGATCTCAATTTTTCTCCATTGGTAAGGGGAGCCTAGGCAGCCAGATCAGAGATGAGACACAGCTTTGGATGGCTACCATCAAGTGAGATGAACTCTGCTCTGAAAATGGCAACTTCCATTACAGTGGCTGGAGAATGGAGACATGGGTGGTTTCACTGGCTTGGCCCAGGGCTGAGGACTGAGTCTTCCAGGTCTTTGTACACTGCATTGAGAAATTCCCATACATTGTATTCTCATCTGCACTATCAGGTGAGAAATCATGAAACAAGCCAAACATAAAGTGAATCTAGTTTTCTTCCCTTTCTCTAACATAAATCTGTTGTCATTATAAAGGAGCTCTGCTTTTACTGTCTAGAAGAGAAGGCAGACACACACATTTGTACAAAGACCTACTATGTTTCTTTCTTTCCATAACAAAAAAAGCATAGAATTCAGGTTATTTTATCAGCAAAAATTATACTCTTTACCTATTATCTGCAATTCTATCCATAGCAAGTGCATTACACTGTAATTAAAGTATATTGTATGCATTATCTGTGAAAGGGCTGTAATCATTTCAACATACTATTCATTGAAATACATTAATACAGTACCTATAATATATGAAAATTGAAATAGATGAAAATGCAATACAATAACTATTTTAAAGGTTTTTGCTCCTGGAAGAGTCCTAGGAATATCAGAATTTATGGATATGTTATCCTGTCTCCACGAGTTTCTTAAAATGAGAAGGATATGCAAGAGTCTAGCTACCTCGTAGAGATGTCTCAAGGTAGTGCAAGGGGAAGCAGATCAGGAATCACATTTATCATGTATGAGACTGTATGTAGTGATTTTTTCCTTTGAGAAAAGACAAGGAGACATGGAGAGGAGTTTGTACCTTTTTAGTTGCACTTGATAGGATGGACAACTACAATGCAGCTGAAGTTCAGATCAATTGGGTCACGTGTCCCAGTGTTGCCTTGCTGAGTTGGGAGATGGCGACCTCCACATGGAGGGGGTGAAGTAATTGAAATGGACCGCATCTTACCATTACTATTCTCTTTGGAATGATTTGCATCTTTGAATGATTAAGGATTTCCCACTAATATCTGCAGGAATAATATTACCATGTCAGAGGTCTCACAAGCAAAAGCTAACTGTTTAATCAATGTCCAGATTTTCCTGACTGAGTTTATAATGGATGCAAAGCTCTGACTTGAAGAAGTTTGACTCTTCTTATTGTACAGTCTCCAAGAAGGGGGTTTTGTTGATGACCAGTTAAATATAAGTCCAACTCTGGCTTTATATAGGAGGCAGTTAACACTTCACTCAGCTGTCAGTGGAAAACCTTGTTATTCAGGCTGGGCATAAGAAGGATGCAGGATGCTTTTACGTTTTCTTATTGGAAGCTGTATCTCATGTAACTTAAACATATTAAACTGCTAAGCCTTGTGGATCTGTGCAGATTTGATTGAATGACAGTGATGACCTTGACAGGCTTGAGAAGTGGGCACCATGTGAACCTCATGAAGTTCAGAAAGGCCAAGTACAAGGTCCTGCACCTGAGGTGGGGCAACCCTTGGCATCAATACAGGCTGCGGGATGAAGGGACTGAGAGCAGCCCTGCAGAGGACTTCGGGGCACTGGTGGATTGAAAATTGGACATAAGCTGGCAATGTGTGCTTGCAGCCCAGAAAGCCAAGCATATCCTGGGCTGCATAAAAAGAAGCATGGCCAGCAAACGAAGGTAGATGAGTCTTTCACTAAACCATTCTGGTGAGACACCACCTGGAGTACTGCATCCAGCTTTGGAGGCCTCAGTACAAGAAGACATGGACCTGTTAGAGTGGGTCCAGAGGAGGGCCACAAAAATGGTCAGAGAGCTGGAATACCTCTCCTGTGAGGAAAGGCTGAGAGAATTGAGGTTGTTCAGCTGGAGAAGAAATGGCTCCGGGGAGACCTTATGGTGGCCTCTCGTTATATAAAGGGAGCTTATAAGAAAAATGGAGACTTTTACCAAGGCCTGCAGTGACAGGACAAAGGGTCATGGTTTTAAACTGGAAGAGGGTAGGTTTACATTGGACATAAGGAAGACATTTTTTACAATGAGGGTGGTGAGGCACTGGAGCAGGTTGCCCAGAGAAGTTGTGGATGCCCTCTCCCTGGAAGTGTTCAAGGCCAGGTTGGATGGGGCTTTGGGCAACCTGGTCTACTGAAAGATGTCCCTGCTCATTGCAGGGGGTTGGACTGGATGATCTTTAAGTGTTCCTTCTGACCCAAACCACTCTATGATTCTATGATTCCTAAACACAAATGAATAGAAAGCACACAGCATCAAAACCATCGGTTTTCTGTTTTTAAATACTTGTGTGCAAGATGATGGTTGTTTTTTCTTTTTGCTTACTCCCTTTGCACAATTCTTCTCTTTTTATTAGAGTAGATTACAAAATTAGAGAAAATCCTGCACATACCTGTTTCTCCCCACTGGGCTTCTTGTGGTTTAACAGCAGCTCCACGGCACCAACTACCTCCTTTCGTATGGCATGCAACAGAGCATCTCCCACATATACATTAAAACTTAAGAGCAGCTCAATGAGCTCAAGGTTCTCATTTTCAATTGCAATGAGGAGCGCAGTTCTTCCCAGGGGATCAATGCAATTAATATTGATCTTGAAATAAATTTCTGCTTCCTCCAAAGCTTTCTTCACACTGGCATAATCTCCTTTCTCCACAGCATTCAGATAGGCTTTCTCTGAATGAGACAGTTCAGATTCTGCCCGTACAATACGAAGAGGGATACGATCTCTGTAGGGAGCATTGACACTTCTTTTGTAGTAGAACTGGGCCATATTTTATGCCATTCTAATACTTTGTCTCTGCAATATGAAAAGAAAGATTAAATCAATAATATATTTTGGGGGTACAGTGCACCAAATTAATATTTGCAATATATAAGTGTTTAAAACTCATACTAAAAAGTGATATTGAAACAAGTACAAATGGTTTCTAAGATCACCAGCAAAACGTGGAAACCAAAACATATAACCAAGTTGTTGCAACTCGCCAAGTCAAAGCATATCTGTCAGCATACCATGCTCTTGTATGTATTCCTTAAACCTGTGATAAGCAAGAGGTAATACAATGCAGTTTGCACTAAATGTGTAGCTCCACTTCATCCTTAATTTCTTCATTAAGTTCCACTACCTCATGTTTGCCACAGTTTAAGAGTATGCTCATAGACAGCTGCTGGACTCTAGTCAACAGGGCACTTACACTTTTTTATGCTTGATTGTGGTAGTGGTTATGGTTCAGTTGCTCATCTGAGGTCCTCTTTGGGATGCATAGTCATCCCATCTGCACTCCAGCATGGCTTGGGTCTTTCACAAGGCCTGTGCACATTTGTTACCTTCATGCAATATCCTACACAACCCAGGTTTGTGGACAATACAGTCTTTTTTACCTGTTTGTTTAGCTTGGCCAGAAAGAACATGCCAGAGCTGTAATAGTTATTAGCATTTACATCTTCCTACTACCGCTGAAATGCCCTGACTTATCTGTGGCAGGCACAGATTGCACAGCTCAGTGGTGAGCTTTCCTACTAAGAATTTGATTCAATCCCATATGCTATTAGAAAAACATTCATCCAAAATGCTTTTCCAACCAGCACTTAGTAACATATAAATTAGAATTCAGAGCCTAGAAGAAAAAACAAAATCCATATGAGATAAAGTCCCAAGGATTGGTAGATAATAATTGTGGTTTTGATTCTGAACTATTCAGCTGTAAACTAGAATGAATATTGAAACACTGCAACTATAAACCAACTCTAAAGTCTTACATATAACAAAGCATTTAATGCCTCTGCTTTTACTCTGCACATTTGTGCGAGGACTTTGCAAAAAATAATTCCTTCTAACAGGACAATTTTCTCCTGGCTATATCTAGTACTTGGAAAAAAAAAAAAAAAGAGGGAAGAGAGAAACTTGACTTAAAAGGATAGGTTCACAAAAAATATTTCCTTCTGCAGTTCAATCAGAGTTCGAACAGCTTATTAGTCAAAGAACTGGAGTTTCTTGTCATTTTCTCAGCTGACAATCCAAGCTGCAGTAACCCACTGCCTTTTCTTCAACTTTCTTCAGGCATTAAAAAAATATCTCTGTTGAGATCCTAATTTTGAAAAGACAGTATGTATTTTCATTGGGAAGTTTTGATTCATTAAAAATTTCAGTAAACATTGTGAGGAACATCATAGTAATTTATCTGTTCCAGGCTCCTTACGTAGCAAGGAGAGGTGAGTAGAAAGGTTGTTACTAAGTTGTTTTCTTTGTTTTCCAGAGCAGATCAACAGGCTTGAGGCAGGCAGGAGACAGCAAAGAAGACACATTAGAAAGAATTCTCCTCTGGATCCATATACAGGAGCTGAGCAATTGCAATCTTTTACAGGATGTTTCCCAGTTCTCCCTCCAAGATGGTATTGGTCTGCAGTCTGGGCTACTAGAGGTTGCACAGTCTTTGGACTCTGTTCACTTAATCTCACTCTAAGTAAAATAAAGTATATATGGATTGCACAGTTTTGTACCCCTGGAACAGAGATATCACATTCTTATTGTTAATGCACTGTACTTTACCAATTTGCTTTTCATTCTTGCTTTTCAAAATTGCAAGTTCAATTCAAGAAGAAAAAAGGGTCATGCATGTTCAGGTCCAAATTAACAGACTTAAATGTAGATGTCAACAAGTAGGTATCTACAAGAAAGGTAGGCTGCTATATTCCCATTACAGCCATGGAGATTTAGGGGTCCACTCCACCACTCACAAATTGTCATCTGGTTGCTGAAGGACATCCTGACTCCAGCTGCCACCTCAGAATGACATAGGTCTCACAAGGGGTCCATTTCATATCTGTCAGGCAGATGTTGGGTTAACCCACAACAATGCACAAACATTATTCAGTTTCTTACTATCTACACAGAGTTCCTCAAGACCCCTGGAGAAAATTGAGTGACTGCAACTGAGAGGTCATTGCTAAAAGCTCCCCTCTCTTGAAAGCATGGGAACGAATAAACGGATCATTGCCTCCCCATTTCTTAGGAATTAAACTAGCAATTAACTTGCACCAATGAAATTAGGCAGCATAGGGATGTTTATGATGATAGAAGAAGAGTACAGTGATTTACAGATGGGATCTACTATGATTTCCTTAGGATGATTTTGGGTTTTTATGTTTGTTTTATGGTAAGTCTGGGGAAGGTTTATTATTGCTTCATTGTAATCCCTAAAGAAAACAGTTGCTGGAACCTCTTGCGTTTACCTCTTCATGATTCTTGAATGGGGAAAATTAGATCTAAGCTTAGTTTACTTCTTTCAGAAGAGATGCATTAAACACACATCGTCATTCTTCTAAATAGCTTCCCTCTGCTAGTCTTCCTCTCTGGTCCATACCACTTCCTGAAAATAATCAGTCAGTGTGTTGGGTTTGCGTGGCAAGGTTTTGGTAGCAGGGGGGGCAGGGACTACAGGGGGGGCTTCTGTGAGAAGGTGCTAGAAGCTTCCCCTGTGTCTGACAGAGCCAATGCCAGCCGGCTCCAAGATGGACCTGCCGCTGGCCAAGGACAAGCCAATCCCTCTGTGATAACATATTTAAGAAGGGGAAGAAAAAAGATTAGAGAGAGCTTTTGCAGCCGGAGAGAGAGG